GACGGCACGCGTGCGGCGGTGCAGGCCGACAACAAGCAATAAAGGGGACCGTGTTTGGCCAGCGGGCGGCCAGGTCGAGCGGCCAAGGTGTGTAAGGGTGTGTCAGGGCGCGAGGGACGAACAGCGGGCGTGTGTGTTGGCGGAGGGTTTGCCATGCGTCGACGGCATTGGCATGGCGGTTTCGGCATGCGGGCGGCAATGGTCGTCGCAGCTGCACGCCCTGGCAGGCGATGGCGAGATGACGCCCACTAGGAATGCAAATGCACGCCATACAGGCATGCTGACATGCAGAGTGCCGGCATCATCCATGGCCGACGCTCGACTGCGGCGGCACCCCGCCGTGAGTGGCGGCGGCGTGTGGTGTGGTGAAACTGGCGTTCCCATCGACGCAGCGCGGGCCGTTGCCCCTCGCAACCGACGCTCCAAAGGGCCCGGGGGGCGGCAACCACTATGACCACCGAGTCGCTTGCACCTGGATCTACAGCCCGACTCAAACACTTGCATCACGGCCGCTTTCTGTGTGCATCCGCCTCTTCAAGAAGTCCTGCCCGCCCCGCTTCTGCTGGCACATCCACACGACGCTGAGCCTGCGTGTGAGCGCCCGTCGGACAGCGTTGCGCGCTTCGGCGTCATTACCCTCGTTTGCCTGCACGCAATCTCCCTGCAACACCGCGCCCGTCTCCTCGCCTCTCCCCCACCCGCGCTATCCACTCCTACACCGCATCTGCGACACGCTTCAAGACACGCTCCCACACACGCTCCCACGCTCCCGCGCCCCTCGGCTAGCCACCCTTTGTATGCGCCTGTGAACGCTGCGTTCGCGGGGCTGCACACACCATGGATACGAGCTATCTCGCCCAGCAGGTCACAACCATCATCGGCCAGCTGCATGGCCTGTTCGACGACATTGGCGTCCCCAGCCATGAGCGGGACGAGCGCGAGGCAGAGGTGTGTAGAGGCAACGTGCGTGCCTGGTGCGACTGCTGACCCTGTGTAGCTTTTTTCCGCCCTGTCTGAAACACTCCACAACCAATTGCGCCAGGTGACCGACGAAAAGCACGCCATGGCCGAAGAGGCGCATCGCCTGCTCACGACAATCCGCCAGATGGAGGCCTCGCTCGACGACAACAAGTCGAATCCGAATTACGAAGACGACGACCATGACAGCGCCATCACCTTCCCCCTGACGCGCTGCCTGCAGAACCTCAAGGAAAAGTACAACTCGGTCAGCAAGCGACACCAGGAGCGCTTCGAGCAGGTCAGGAAACTGGCAGAGGCTCTCGAGTCGTATGCGTCGCATCTCGAGCCCTCGTTTGTCCAAGTCAAGCTCCCGCCCACCGCGCCCAATGCGACCGTCTCGCCCACGTTCGACATATCCCCGGCCTACGTCAACCAGCTGGACCACGAGTTTACACGCATATACGAAGAGTACACACGGCGCATCAACACCGTGCAGGTGCTCTGTCAGGAAATCATTCAGCTCTGGGCCGAGCTAGGGACACCACAGGCGCAGACCGATAGCGCCGTTGTCAAGTACCATCGCGACGCACCCGAGCAACTGGGTCTGCACAAGGAGGACCTTGCGCAACTGCAGGCCAAGAAGGAGCGCTTGGTCGAGGAGAAGCGCGGGCGGGAACGACGGCTAGGGCAGTTGCGCACAACCATTGAGGAGTTGTGGGATCGTCTGGGTGTCGAGGAGCGCGAGCGCAAGCAGTTTCTGAACAGCAACCGCGGATGTGGCCTGCGCACCATCAACGAGTACGAGGACGAGCTGGCGAGGTTGAATGAGCTCAAGCGCCAGAACCTACACCTGTTTGTCGAGGAGGCGCGGTGCCAGCTCCAGGACCTCTGGGATGCCCTGTACTTCTCCGAGGAAGAGATGCTCGACTTTACGCCCGCCTTCTCCGATGTCTGCAGCGACGCGCTCCTCGCTGCACACGAAGCGGAAATCGCCCGCCTCGAAGCACTCCGGGAACAGCGACTGCCCATCCTCCAGAAGATTGACCGCCACCGGGAACTCATCAAGGAGCGCGACGAACTGCAGCAGTCGAGTCAAGATGCCACACGTCTCATGGCTCGCGGGAACAAGGGGGAGAGGCGCGACCCAGGCAAGCTTCTGCGCGAAGAGAAGATGCGGAAGCGCATCGCAAAGGAGCTGCCCAAAGTTGAAAGTGTAAGTGCATCATGGTCTTGAGAGAAGGCAAGCTAACGCCATGGCAGGAGTTGAAGAGCGTCCTCGAAAACTGGGAAGACGAGTATGGTCGACCATTCCAGGTCCACGGCAAACGATACCTTGACGAGCTGTATGCCTCTGCTGCCAAGGCTGCGCCGCCCCGCGCAAAGACACCCTCCAACACGGGCATGCCAAGCAAGTCGGCGACCGTGTCAAGGTCGACAGCTCCCAGCCGTGCTGGCACGATTCGTGGAGGCGCACCGCCCACGCGTTCAAAGACGCCTGTGTCGAATTACGGCGCAAGTGTCTCACGGCATACACTTTCCAGCTCTGTTTCGTCCGTTTTTAGTGCGTCGACATCGACAACAGCGTCAGCGTCGACGTCGACGTCGATATCCACTGCGGCTCAAAAGAGCCCTTCCAAGATACCTTCGCGCACACAACTAGGCGGCACACAGGGCAGGAACTCGCCTGAACGCCGAATGCAGCCGCCTGCACGAGAGGATGCGGCGACGATGCGGAGAAAGGCGCCGCCCATGGCACCTCCACCACGGATGAAGGATCTCTTTATACCGCCGGAGCCATCGCCCGTGGAGACGCCCATGAACCGCTTCGCCTTCAACCGTGGAGAGCGCAGCGAGAGCATTGTGCGCAACGTAGCACCCGAGGACCCCTATGACGATCGACCATCTTACGTAAGGCACAGCCAAACGATGAGCGCAGGCTACATTCCCGCGTACCCTACACCGTCGGTGTCGTCGGGCAGCAGCCGGCAAATCTCGCAAGCGTCGTCGACAGGGACGGCAGCGACGGGGGTGACGATGCAGTCCGGGTCTGAGAACTGGGAGACGTTCAGCGAACAGTCGGACGATGCACCGGAAGAAGAGGTCGACTTCCATCAGTACAAGCGGCAGATGAAGCGGTACACGCCCGAAGGCGGACATGCATCTAGCCCGCGGCCCGTCCAAGGCAAGAAGATTCGCGGTATCCGCAACGTAGGCGGAAGCGGGTCTATAAGCGAGCACGAGGGCAGCCTGGTACCCGTGGTTGAAGGGTCTGACGCAGGTTGGACTGACGACGGCGACGGGTACTGAGAAGGGTGCCGGCTGCTTTGCATGTCCACTCGGACGCTTTCCACGAGCCATGTCGACGACGACTGCATGCTTTTTTTTACGGCGAAGTGACGACCAAAAAAACCGCCTAGGACCGCTCAACTCCCGCGTTTTCCCCGTTATCCCATCTTGGATTTTTTTTCTCTCTTCTTCTTTTTCATCTAATTCTTGACAATGCGCGTTTAGCCTGGTGGTGTTGGGTAGGTAGTGGTTGCATATTTTTTCCCACCCCCTTTCCCCGTTTAGCCCGGTTTCAGGGCAGGAGGAGTGAAAATTTTCAGTCGGACTCATGGCCTTCTTTTTGAAGGGTAGGCGGGTGAGTGGTTGGGAGATTCGCCACGTACCTACAACGTGGGCAAGGGGGGTGGGCTGGGGGCTGCAGGTCAGATGGCTAGTGTACAACCAAGTTTGTTGGTTTTGGGTGGGCGGGCAGCTGCTCTCATGCAACGATGCCCTCTTCTTCTTTTTTTGCTCTCGCTTGAGGAGCGAAGGCGGGCCCCTGGCTCTTTTCATTTCTTTGGCATTATATTTTGCTTGGTCTGGGTTGAGCGGCAGAAGTGCGGCGCACCGGCGTTTGGATTGGGCCTAGTTGTGTATGCGCGTTAGGCGCTTCACTTTTTTTGTGGACTCGTTGTGTGTATTGTTTGTAATGTGCATGTGCCGATGCCTAGTGTGTGAGTGAGAGAGAGAGAGCAAAGGAGAGAGCAAAAGCGTGGAGCATGGCGTATTGTAGCGTAGTTGCATAGTTGTAGAGGCAGACGTGTACTGTTAGAATTGATCAGAATGGAGAAGCGTGCTTGAAAAAAAAAGAAAAGAACAGGACAGATGATGGTGATTGCTAAGGCGCGTACAAGCAACTAGTTGCACGGATGGTTCACGGCATGAGCCGCGGCACGGCGAGTGTGTCGAGAGAGGGCTTTGGAAGGAGCAAGGAGCGGCAGGCTTGTAGTGTAATATGTAGGTGGGCGCATGAGGAAGGCGCACATCGGAGGAGAGGGATTGAAGCGGCATAGATGTCGATGTGAGGTTGGGGCAGGGCGGTCGTTGGTTGCTTCCTTCCTGGAGTGGTTGCCCCTTCCTAGTTGGGGCTCCGCGGGCCTCCCGCGACGGGCCTTCCTGTTTAGCACAAGGGACGGGGTTAGGCTGGATGGAGCAGGTGCGATGCGGTCATACCGTTGGCACCGGCATACATGGACATAGATGTATGTAGATGGAGATGAAGAAGAAAAAGGGTCACGTCAGTGTCGTCGGGGGTGAGCTGCGAACACGTGCTTGGTTGCTGGAAACGGGAACGGCGGTACCGGTACTACTTACACCTAGTACGTAGTATACTTGGATGCTGGGGAGCCGGATTCGCGAGCAGCAGCCATGACGTTGCCCAAGCAAGGCGAGGCCGGCTATCGACGAGCCTGGACTGAAAATAGACTTTTCCTCGTCGCTCGTCGCATCGGCCATGCACCCCACAGCGCGCAAAGGGCACACGCACACGCACACACACGCACACACACGCACACACACGCACACACACGCACACACACGCACACACACGCACACACACACGCACACATGCACACACTCACACACGACGGGCAGCTAGCGTAGTCGGGGCAGATATGGGAGAGATAAGCATGGCGACTGTGACAGGCCCGGAGCCGGCTGCAACCCCCCCAGGCCTACCACACCGGACAGGCTGCAGCCACGTACTACTAGATAGACCCAAGGGCCATGCGGGCGTGCTAAGCTGCGCGCCGTGGCTTGCGGACGTGTTGTGGCCATGACTCCTTGGGCGGACATGGATGCATCCACGGCCATGGGAGTGCGTATGTGTGTGTATGTGTGTGGCGGAGAGCGAGGGGGGGTGGGGGGGTGTGGGTGTGGGCGCACCAGCTGACGCTGTCTGGTGGTGGTGGTGGTGGTGGCAGGCCAGCTGGAAGGGCGCCTTCAGCGTTCGCGGGCTTCCAGAAGGCAGCCAAGGGCCGTGGGGCGACAGGGCTGACGGCGGGCGGAGGTGGCGGCTGGGTGCGAGGGGGGGAAAGGCCAGGGGTTGCTGGCAGGCGATCGTCGTCTGCATCGTGTCGCGCATGCGGACCACCCACCCAACCGGGGGGCTTGCACAACTGGCAACTGGCAACTGGCAACTGGCAACGGGCAATGGGGTCCCCTGGCCACAGCGAGAACACATGCAGATGCGATATGCGTGTGCATGTGCCGTGTCCTTCACTCTCATGCACACACAACGAGAGCCTCTGGGCGCCCACCGTTGCACTTGCACTTGCACTTGCACTTGGCGGTCGTGTGCCCTCTGCCGCCCGCCGCCCGCCGCCTCTGATAGGCAGCCGCTCCCACGCGACTGCCCTCTTACTTATCGCCGCCCACACACTTGCTCACTCTCACACTCGCTCACACACTCCCACACTCCCACACTCCCCCCCCCCGGCTTCGTCATCGGGCCCTCCCTTATCACCGTTAACATCGGTCCGCCCTCGAGCCATCTGTTATACTACTGCATCACCCCCCCTCCACTTCCACCTACGCCCAGCACCTCCTCCTCCTCCTCCTCTTACTTACCCTTCCGCCCTCCCCCCCCCCATCAACCGCTCCCGCTGCCTCTGCAACTCACTCCCGTCCGCTTCCATTAAGTGCGTCGGCGACTCTCGGCACGCGCCAACCCTGCACTCTGATGTTGCTCGCGACTTGCCCTTGCAGGACCCGCCCAATCGCCTACCAGCAATAACGTAAAGAAATCCAGCGGCCGCACGTCACTCGCAGCCTAGCCCCAGCTCCCTCCCGTACCTGGATTTGGCTGGCGCCCTGTTAGTTAGTCACGGGGAAAACGCCTTCAGGGCTCACGCTACGCTGCTTGCCATCGTCATGTATTCGCCAAGGTCCTTTCCTTATCTGCACCACTCTCCACCCTCGCACCGCTCTTCGACTTCATCGTCCGACAGCATGCGAACACGCATGCGCTCCAGTCCCTCGCCACGAAGTACCAGGCCCGCCACGGTAGACACGCCCACACACCACCCCATGAATAACCACGCTACCTCTTCCTCGGCCATGTCCAAGCCCGTTGGCATCCCTCCACGCACCCCCATCAAGTCGTCTTCCTCGACACAGACAGCCAGGATGAGACCCGACCACAGAAGCAGATCGGCACGCTCGTCACAGAGCCATGATGCCAGGGCTCTGCCGCCCGCCGTTGCTGCCTTGCTCGCCGTCACAGCCATTCCCAAGATGCCTGCTCGCCGCCGGCTGCGCTCCACCATGGACAGGCGCATATCCATGGATGAGCTGATACAGGAGTGGAAGCAGGAGGACCCAGACACGCCGCCCTCGCTCTCGGGCTCTCCCATGGACCTGCTGCTCGGTCGCGTCGACGAGTCGGACGACGAGTACAGCAGCATCACAAGCGGCGATCACGAAAAGGGCTCCTACCTGACGTCGAGGTCCATTTCCAGCGACTCCATCTCCTCCACGCTGCCGCCCTCGCTCGACTACGAGAATCCCTCGTACGCATCCCATTGGGACAACATCAGCACACCCGAGTCAATTGGCCGAAAGTCGCTGCCCGAACGCAAGGAAAAGATTGTCTCGTCCCCGCCCAAGGAAGACTGCATTCTCGACCACCCGCTGCTTCACTACGGACCCGACGAGTGCGAGGACATCATCGCCGCCGCCGACATGAACGACACGACGCCGCCGCCGCCGCCTCCAACGGAGCGATTCCGATCGTTCAAATCTAACCTCACAGCATCCCTGCAAGCACTCAAATCCGCGGCCAAATCCTTCTCCAACTTTACAGCCCCCAGCGTACCCCCGGACGACTTTCTCACGCGATCACTCTTATCGCCTAGGTTCACGAGCGAGATGCGCCCGAAGCACCTCGAAGGCCTGCCCTCGCCCGAATTGCGACGCTATCTCAACCCGCAGCCCGCGCCCATTTCACCCACCGAGTTGACCATGCATCTCCACGACTCCTTCGCGCTGGATACCGACGTCGACCCCCACGCGCCTATGATTCAAATGCAGACGTATGAGCGTCGCGGTAGGGGACAAAAGTCGCGCCGTAGTCGCACCGCGGATCCGTTTTCCGAAGCCGGACGGGTCCTGTCCAATGACGCACCTGCCGTTCGCCAGCGCGAGCCTCGCGAGAACAGCGACTTTCTACGTGTCATTGTCCTGGAAATGAACATGCGCCGCGTCGGCAAGCTCGACACAAAGGCTGTCGGAAAGGCTCGTATTTGGCTCCCACCGCGCAAGCCGGCCTCCAACAGGCCCCCGCCTCAGGATACGGAAAGCCGCGTCCCGCTCCGATGGACTCCAGTCACGGCACCTTGAAGCAACTCGTATCAAACAAAGTCTAACAGGGTGGCTGCAGTAACATGGAATGGCTTGCCGTTGGGCACACACGCTGCACGCAGCCCAAAGCGTGTACCGTCGCTACGTTCATACGACAAGTCGACCCGAGCCCTGCACGTTGCAAGGCGTCCCCACCTACGTGGCGCGCGTCGCCTGCGGCCACTCGATCCTGCGTCATTGGACGACATGGAGCCCTGTAGACGATCCCGGATTCAGTTTCTCCGAAGATCGCATGACTGGCCGTAGCCTGGCGCCACGGATCTAGCGGGTCCGCCGTCCAGCAAAATTGCTCGTCTCGGTATAGGCACAACTGTCTCCACGATGCTGGGATTGTTTTTGCGCCCCGCTTACGATGCTTCATGGCATACCAAGCTCATACAAACTTTAAGAGATGGGAAAGCAGGTTTGTCGACCGAGTCGCGGGGGTGTGTGAACTAGCGCTATGGGCACGTGACACGGGTTTTTGTCGGACCCGGCATCGTTTTTTTTAACCCAGTGGGGGAAATATAGCCCCTGGCCGCGCGCGCACAAAGGCCAACAGCCAACCGCTATGCGCTAGATGCAAACTTCCTGGGGGATTGTCCCTTACAACGCATGTCCCCTCGGCTTCGCAGCAAAAACGAGGGTCCCGCCGAGCCCCAATACGCCGGGTCTCGCCGACGCCGCTTGGCCAGAGAGTGGGGGGAGCGTACACATTTGCTTGGAACAAGCTCTTTTCCTGCTACCAGAAATTCTAATGGGGGTTTATACCCATTGAGCCTGGAGCACGGGTCCAAGGGTCCTTCGAGCAACAAGCAAACGCCGAGGCAATACCTTTTACGACACGTTTCTTTTTTTTTCTTCATATTTTTTTTTCTAAATTATATCCACTTTGTAACGTGGGATTTTTTTCTCTCTTCTCATTTCGTCTTGCATTGTGTGTGCGTCTTAGCGAGAGAGTGGGGGTTGGGACGGCTTTATTTTGTTGCGTCTTACTCTTTGTTGTTGTTTTTTTTTCTTTCTCTTTGATCCTTCTCGGTGTTCGGGGCATAAGCATGGGGAAGAAAGCGGGCGTTTCGTGTGAGTGTGTGTGCGTCGACGGTCAAGCGCTGACCGCTTTTTTGGACTAAGTACTGGACATTTCCTGCATGTTTTGTTGGGGGGGGTCAGGGCCAAGCAATTTGTGAGCAGAAAAGCATGGCGCGCCGTCTACCTCGTCCTTTTTCTTTGCCTTTGTTCCCTGCATTTGCATTTTCCTGCGTCGTGGCCTCCTTGCGCATGCTGGGCACGTGGGCTGCTTATGTTTTTTTGTTATTCCCTATCTCTCTCTCTTATCTTTTCTCCAGCGCAGTCGTGTTTTTTTTTTACCCTTCCGGGCCCAACGACTGAGTTATACACACTAGAATAGCGCGCTGCAGAGCGGTCGTCGGTCAGTCGGTCGGGGGGGGGGGTCGGTCACATTTCCAGCACCCATGTATATCCGGAAGAAGACGAAGATGATGAAGAAGAGTTTCTGGAAACCAACAGGCGCGAGCCTACTTGTATGTAGCCACAACAACAACAATATCAACATCAACATGAACAATTGCAATGGCTACTAGTTGCCGTGAGACCGTTCTTCTCACCACCGTGACCCTCACACCACTCGTCTCGTATACATTTCACACACACATTACCAAACTCGCCTTCCATCGCATCGCATCGCATCGCATCGCACGGTTCGCGCTTTCCCGCTTAAAGCCTCCCGCTTCACGCTTACCTACTTAGCTATACACAGCCGGTCGGTCGGCCGGCTGTACATACCATCACGAGCACGAGACCACACATACCCACCCACTATACATACATACATACATACTACATACATACACGTGCTTACCCTACATATGTACCTCCGCGCTTACCCTACATACATACATACATACATACATACATACATACATACATACATACATACATACATACATACATACATACACACGTGCATATCTATATACAGTCTTCCCTTGTATAAAACGAGCTGCGCCTAAGATATATCCCCACCAGCTAGCTAGCTAGCTATGTAGCTATGTAGCTAGTCGCATCGAGGTACTTCGCACACCCTCTAGTCGCAGTCTTAGTCCTAGTACCAGTCGCAGTCCTAGTCCTAGTCCTAGTCCTAGTACCAGTGTAACCTGTACAAGTCCAAGCGTGGCTCTTTTTTTTCTTCTTTTTTTTTCGCTTTGCTTTGCTGTTACTACTACTAGTACTACCGCTACTACTACTACTACTACTACTACTACTACTACTACTACTACTACTACTACTACTACTGCAGCAGCAGCAGCAGCAGCATACCAACAAACAAGTAAATATCAAGCAACTGTGCTTATCGCGGCGGCGGCGGCGGCGGTGCAAATATATACAACAAACAGTTGAACAATGCAACGTGGATATATATAATATAGCGCGTCAAATGGTACGCGGTCGGGTGTACTGGGAAGAATTCAAGTACGTAGTTAGTCGGCTGCTGGGTGTAACCGGCAGATCGAATAAAATAAACCGGCGACTTTTTTTTCCACATGCGATAAGTAGATGTGTACATGCGCATTTGCTTCCACGGTAGATAATATACCAAACAGATGAACAATGATTATACTAGGCGAGAGAATGGAATGCATGCGCAAGAATAAATTTTTTTTAAAAAGCAGAAGAAGAGAAATAGGAAGTACACCGCACACACACTGGACCCGCTCAACAATAGCACTACATGCATCGAGCAACCGAAGCAAAAAAAGTGACCTAACCAGGGGTCGAACCTGGAATCTCTTGATTAGACTTGGGAAATCGTAGTCAAGCGCCTTGCCATTGGGCCATTAGGCCTTTTGATGGGTGTTTCTCTCATTTTGCTCTTAATATCCGCTATTTTTGTGCTATCCCTCGCAGCAGAAGCAGCAGCTAAAACACGTCGAAAGTGACACTTGGATCTGCGCGACTGATGCGCGAAAAATGCCCTCGTTGCAGAGTTTTTCCTGGGGCGGGGGAAGGGAGTCACGGATTTACGTTGGTTGGTTGGTTGGTTGGATGGTTTGTTGTAGCGCAACACGTACACGCGCACGCGCACCCCCAGAGCGAGAGAGAGAGAGAGTTACGCGTGAGTGTACATGGGTATTAGCAGGCATACGCGCGTAAGAAGAAAAAAAGAAAAAAAAAGGGTAAAAGCGAGAAAGAAAAAAAGGGTTAATGGCGGGAACTATCTAAAAGCGGGATGGCGAGTGCAACATGACGAATGTGGCGTGGTGATTGATGGGCTGGTGGGACGTGTTACTGTGGTTGTGCTCGTGTGCGCGGGTGCGGGCGCGGGCGCGTGTGCGTGTGCGTATGCGTATGCGCAAAGGCAAAGTCAAAAGGCAAAGTCAAAGTGGAGGCGTGTGGATGTGTGAGTCGTGCCGCGCAGCTTACTCGCACGAGCACCAGCAGCGAGGGCTGGCGTGTTTGTGTTAGTGGGCGTGAGAAGTCAAGTCAGCGTGATAAGAGAGGTGGTGATGTCATTGCAATCGTTCTCGCAAGTAAGCGCTGGTACTATGGCATGGTATGGCATGGATATAGGGAGTTGGGTATCGGGAGACTTGCTGGAGTTGTGTGTGTGTATGTAGAGGGCATACTAGATGGATGGATGGATGGATGGATGCAGATTCACACGCTGATTTGCAGGCGCGCTTGGATATGCACATGGCCAGGTATGTAGATAGAAGGATGGATGGATGGATGGTGGATGAATAGACACCGGAAACAGGTGCGCGCGTACATACAAGCCCAATCTCACGTCTATGCGAGCTAGCAAGCAAGTCACCCACGCACCGCGCATATTCCTCCCCTACCCATATCCGCCTGGCACCCTTATCCGCACATAGGTGTACAGTAAGTACACACACACACACACACACACACACACACACACACAGCAGCCCGGTAACCGCGGGTGCAGCATCAAAAGCGCCCACGACCACGACCACGACTGTACCCAACGCAACGCAACCCACCCCTCCACGCCAAAAGAGTGGGGGGTTAAAAACCGACAATCACAATCACAATCACAACATCATCTCTCCATACATACATACATACATACATACATACATACATACACACGTGCACGCATCCCTCTCATCGCACCACCTGACCTCTCTCCAATCCACCGCGCTGAGTCGTATTTGTAGGGATGGGGGGAGGTCAAGCAAGCATCACAACACCCACTCACACTACTTACTTGTACACACCCACACCCACATCCACCGGGACACCCACAGACACGTTCCGGTCGGAACGCCGTCCGTCCATCACGTGCGAAGCTAGAAAAAGGGCCGAATTGGCGGGGACGAACGATTATCGGGGGGGGGAGTTTTTTTTTGCGTTGCGTTGCGTTGCGTTGCCGGTAGGATGGGGGAATGGGCGTGTGCACATACTGTATCTGTATGTATGTATCTAGTATATCACATGGGGGGGATGCAATATGTAAGTAAGTAAGTAAGTAAGTAAGTAAGTAAGTAAGTAAGTAAGTAAGGGAGTTTGGATGGATGGATGGATGCGACGGTGTGTCTGGTGTGATGATGTGGTATGTGAAGAAAAGATCTTTCTCTCTCTCTTTTTCTTTACCCGGCTCCTTCGTCTTCATCTCCATCTTATCTTGGCTTCTGCATGGAGGATGCGCGGGACGAGGAGGCAGAGGCAGAGAATGAGGATGCAGACGCGGTTGTGCATGTGTTCTGTAACAGCAACACAGGCGCATTCACGACATGATTCGCTGCCCTGACGCTGCACATTGCGTACATGTTTGAGAAGCGCGGTCGCGAGCATCATTTCCGTTACCATGTCGGAGTTGATGTCATGGCCTTTGGGGCCGGCTAAGTACATGATGCCCTCCAAACGGTCGCTGAGCCACATCGCCTCGTTCGCCCGCATCGGGCACAACGACATTGCATCCCGTGGTATACTTGTACATAGACACCAATCACGCAACATGGCTTCAGCATGGCCCGCACCACGACTTTATCAATCTGTATTATACACGGTCAGATAGCCCCGTTGGCCTGTTACATGGCGCTCAGGCTAACATATCACCAGCAGCAGGGAAACATGGACGCCGAAATACGCCCGTGCAACGGCATGCCCACCCCCCACCTATGCATAGCTTGCCCACCCCATGTATAGCACCGCCAGGTTGCCTTGGTCCGTGGCTTGCTGGATCAGTTCGTTGACCGTCGCCTGTGTGCTCAGCGTCTTGCTCAGCTTCTTCTCCACCACACTAAGCGCTCGACCCGCCTCACCGGCCTGCTCCTCCTTTGCTCGTTTCTTGTTGCTCTCGTGCACCGCGCCCGCTACCTCGTCGACGCCCGCTTGGCCCAAAGCGGCAGGTGTACCCCCAGGCGCCACACTGGCTGAGCGCCCGGTACCGTTTGCGCCCGTTTCCTGGTTGGCTTCCTGCATGCGTTTTGCTTTGGTCGGCGTGACGCTCCAGTTGACCAAGGGATCGTAGCGCAACACATTGAGCAGAGTCATGATGCTCTCCCTCTCCTCGCGCAGCGTGTCCATGGTGAACTCGCAGCAGCGTCGGAACACGCCTTCCGTCTTGGTGTAGCCCATGCCATCCACCAAGTCACGCGTCAGTCGAAAGGGCACGACCTCTGGCACCGGCAGCACACGACCCGCCTCAAAGCTCACCCCAAGATCAATGTGCACCACCTCGCCACTCTTTTCGTCGAGCAGGATGTTGTGACAATGCCGATCACCCAGACCAAGCACGTGCCCCAGGATGGAGATGGCAGCCGTCGAGCGCGTGTACGCCAGCCGACGCTCAAACCATTCGTCGGGATCCTCGAAGCGCTCCAGCAGGAAGTAGCGCATCACCGGGTGGAAGTTTTCCGCAATCTTCTGCCACACCTTGACGCGTGTCGTGAGCGAATCTTGCTGGCACGCGCCAATCTCTTTCCGGCACCTGTCGGGCTTGTAGTCGCTCGGGTAGTACTTCTCATGGGCTGGCATGACCCACAGATGCAAAGGAACAGTGTTTTGCACAAACTCCATCAGCCCAGAGCGCGTAGAGAGCGGCAGCACCTTGTACGTGCGGATGCCGAGATTGCGGATGCGCGTCGCCGTGTGCTTCTTCAGTAACCGTGAAACTTGGTCAAACACCTGCTCCATGATGGCGTCCTGACGTAGGTCATCGTTTCCCGATTTGAATAGTTGCTTGTATGGCCTTCCGTCGGTGCCCTTGGCCGTGATGATCTTGGGCGCACTGAGCCCGTTCGCGATGCTCATTGTCGACTTGAAGCCTGCAATCCTCGGCAGGTCGCTGTAGTTCATGTTTGGCCGCACCTCAATCTGCAGCGTAGCGGGCGGTACGTTTAATCTCGGTATCTTGCTGACCAGGTCCTTGGACTCCTTGTACCGGTCGAGCTGCAGCTCGCGGCCTTGTTGAGTGCTCTCCTTCTCACCCTTGAACATGGCGAGGTGGTGATATATGTCGTTGGACTGCGAGATGGAGCTCCAGTACGGCCGTGCTCTCTTGTCGCTGCTCAGCGCTGTCGCCAGGCCACACGCAGCTTTCTGGCGCGACTTTGCCGATTCATCTTTGGCACGCACAACATCCTCCCTGGTCATGGCGCCGACTTTCATTTGCATCGCAAAGATCTGGTGCATGCCATGGTAGGGATGCTCGACGCAGATACGAAACACGAGCTCCATCAAGAGGTGCTGGAAGTCGCTGTCTTCTGCTTGCAGCCGTGATGACAGTTGGTTCATCAAAAGCGCAAATTTCCCGCTGGGTACATCCTTGAGATATGACTTCACCGCTTGGTTCGCCAACGGCGTATCGCAGTACTCCAGCCACAGCGCGAACACACGAAGCGCATCGTTGTTGTACTCGTCGCACGCCGAAAGTGACAGAAGATAGTTCTCCAGGCATTGCCGGAGGAACTGCTCGCGGCCTTTGCGCATTCTCTCATACTCGGCGTTGTCCAAATCATACCACGTTTTTGCGCGACGGGCATTGCGATGATACGTCTCTCGCATTCCCCTGCTCTTGTCGGTTTTGGAAAGCTTAGTGAAGTCGTGGTATTCCTGTAGCTTTCGGTCCATCACCGTCTTGATACGGGCCATGTCTTCGGCCGCTTCCGGACTGAGGAGTTGTTTGTCACAAAACAGCGCAAACTCATGGAATACTTGACCTGGACCCAGGCCTTGCTTTTGGCCTTTGAGCTCTCGGATTGCTGGCTCCAGGTACTCATCCATGATTGTGTCGGGTTTCGCCAGGCGGGCTTCGGCGAGATGATGACCCTGGCGTCGTTAGTGAAGCTCCAATACGGTACCAACTATACTTACCAGTCGAGCGAGCAGCACCGGTAGGCTTAGGTCGACGTTCTGGGAATCAAAGTCGGCGTGATCAATGAGATGTTGACGCATCCGTATTGAAATCTCGGTTTCGCCCTGTTCCCAAAGCACGTTGGCTACCTCGTGCTGAGCGGTAGCCTCAATGTCTAGACCTATAGCCCTGCACTCCGATACAATGTCGGAAAGATAAGTAGCACTTGCGAGAGACTCCTGCAGTGCGCCATGCTTTCTACACACGCTGGAGGATGAAACCAAGGCTTCAGCCTCCATACCGCGTATCGTTGCAGCCCTCGTATGCAACGAGTGAACGAGAGCAGCATTGGAGCTGAGCACGCTAAATAATGTCTCGCGGCAAGATAACAGCAAGCGAACGTCGCTAAATCTAAAAATTATAAGTGGTCGCTCTCTACGGTTCAGGAATCATGACTTACTCGCCCGCTCGCATCCACTTTTCGCGAGTCTTCATCCGGTCCCAGATATCCAGTAGATGCTCAGAGCGTTCGGCCTTGATGACCTCTTCCGCTTCGGTCAGTGCTCCCAAGGTGCGCAGGCGGACCTTGGTTGGCACGGATGATCTCTCTTTCCCTGAAAGAAAGCTCATTGTAGTTTGTAGTTGGTGATTGAAGTTTTCTTGAGCCTCCTTTACGCTTTTCGCACAATGCATTCCTTGAAATGCCTTGAACAGCGTGCTGGCTTCTGAGTGATTGAACTCAGGAGCCTTGATGTCCCATTGGCCTAGCTTTCGTGCCGTGTGAAGTGTGCTTTCAACTACATCATCTCCCGCATCGTGGAACTGGTCGTTCAGGAGCAACGAGTGGGTAACGCTATTCATATTAAGCATGATCAGCGACTTGATGGTGCCACGGGAATCATTGGCTTCGTATTCGTTCCGCCGGCGCATTTGGCTGTCGAGGCGGGCTCCCCGGAAGAGAAGGCTCTTGACACCATCGCCCTCGTAGTCAAGACGATCAAGGACCGACAAAAGACTCGAGCCTCGGTCGACACCGTAAAACGAATCAGGCTCATCCAGATTTTTGTAGATTGAAAGCTGAAGCTGCAGCGGTATCTTGGGCGGCTCGACCAAGACGGACGATCTCCTCGTGCTGCTTTTGACGACCGGTTGGCCAGACGATGTTTCTGCAAACAGTAGTGCACTTCTATACATGGCGCATGCATTGGCAGCGTGCGAAGCTTGCAAAAAATCGACCTCTAGCCACCTGTCTCGGTCTACGCGAGTAGCCTCTTTCGGGATTGGCTGACTGCGAAGGTAGAGAATGCATTGCACAATAATGCGGACATGCGGTATCGTAGTGGCGTTGCAATCGCGAAACCAAACGGCAACGGCTTTGGAAACCATTTCGCGGACAGTTTGGTCTTCTTCATACTCATCCAGAAGCACCAAGTGAAGGATGTATGGTAAGAGCTTCTCAGCCATGTGATTTATACCAGTAAGGAGACCAGGCAGCGCATCGAGTATAGGGTGTTCAGTTGCGACTTTGCAAAGTGCAACAGTCAGGTCTCTTACCCAAGGAGTCGTCGGCTTCAGTAGCGCGGGTGCGACTGCCTGCTGAAGGCTGTCCATCAAGGGTTGCAACGGGCCGTCGGGCTCCGGAGGTTTGTACATGAGAGCTTTGGCGATTGCCTCTGGAATGACGCGTTGCATTTCGTCCATGTACTGCGAGTCTGGAACAAGACGAGAGATTAGGTGTCGCACGGCATTCTCAGCAAGACTGACCTCGGTCCGATCGTCGCTGTAGAACAGATCAATGACTTCTCGGACGATTGCCTCTCTGGACGACTTCCCCAGGACCGACTTTGAGTTTTCGCTGGAAGATGACCAAGGACAAGCTCTAGCGGAGCTTTGTTTGACTTCTCCAAAAGCGCTATATGCCCGACCTAGGACGCGTGCTGTCCATAACAGATAGCCCTCACCCACTTTGGGTCGTCGACACGACTCCCAGACTAGGGGCGCATACTCTGCGGCATCGCGGTCCAAGCCGAGAATGTCATCTCGCGCCGTAGGAGCTGGCTGGAAATTTTGGCAGAGTAAGTCTAGCGCAACGTCTCGTGAGGTTTTGTTCAATAGTCTGCGTCCGGAGCGAACATCGTCTAGTATCTCTAGCAAAAGTTTGCTTTCGTCACTGCCGCGGTATGAGTTGCCTTCTGCATTGACTTGCGACGCAGCAGTCGTAATCAGCCTGAACGCTTTGACGGCCGAGGATCGCTCGACAGTAGCGATAGCTTGGGCATGGGCTTTTAGATACTCAGTGAGCCAAGTATGAAACCGGGTAGCGGCGTTCATGGTCGCTATATGCTGTGATTGCTGAGTGGTACTGTCTTGCGAGGAGCCCAAGAATACCCGAAGAGAGATGAGGATAGAGAGACCAATGCCCGTCACGAAACTGAGCTGGTGGCGGAGATACTCAGCACCGTGCTCGAACAGATACTGCATGATTCCCACTGTATCCTCGGCGCACTGCACGTCGGTTAGGAAAGGACGCAAGGATTGAAGAGTCATTTGTAATGGATAACCCTCGTGGGCAACGGGTCCGGCCAGCGCAACAATGATTCGGATCTTGCGAATCACTGATCTTGCGTAGAGAGAGCCAAGTGCGGGATGGATGCGATCAAGGAGAGAGCGTAGCACGAACGTGTATGTGCTTGAAGACCAGAAGCCCGCGGGTCGGTCACCCGTCCGTCTACACAAGCGTTCTAGCTGGTCCGGTAGGTAGAAGGCGGAGAAAGAGGGCTCAATACCCATGTTTAGGCCTTGCGCAGATTGACTGATACTGGTAATCTCAGCTAGGACTGCAGCTGCCGGATTGAAGGCTGGTTTCTTGTCCAAGGATTTACCTAGACGCTCTTCATGGTCAATGGTCTGGAACATGTGGCCGAGCACTTGGGGAAAGTGCCTTTGTATCAAGCTGTAGTACTTGTCGCTGCCAACCATATCTTTGAGCAAGTTACCGAAGCTTGAATCTGCCTTATTACGCGCCGAGCCTCTGCATGTATCCCATGCTATTGTGTATGCGGCTGCCTTGCCAATGTTCGTCGCCAGTAGGTGCTGTGCTGAGCATCCAAGCTGGCTGGCAAGGTACTCGACCTCATCCTTGCGACCAAACATGATTGCTTGGCCTACGACCTCTGCTTCAATATCGCGCAGCAGATCGGGGAGGGAAGGGTAGTCGAAGATTAGGAAAGGTATAGCGCTGATGTTCTGGCCTCGATCTAACCATGTAAAAATGACCTGCGGGGCGAAGAGTCGAAAGAGGCTCTTGGAGTCACCGAGACACCTGGACTGCGCAACCCTGGAAATACAACGTTTGGCATGAAGAGCAGCCTCATGTATAGTGCCTGCTGTTGCAAAGATGCGGTAAACGCTGTGACGTAATAATGTGTGCCATTGAGATGCTAATCGCGAAAGAACAAGTAGTCGGACGGCGATTCCCTCAACACCCTCGTCATCACCGGGAAGGCTACTGTCGACATCCTGCAGTATCTTGTCGTGCTCAGATAGGACAAAGTCTTCAAACATTCGCGGCAACTGCTGGGCAATGTGATACTTGACGGTCATCTCGCCACCTGCCAGCAGCTCAAACAGACTCGTTCGTACGGAGGGAACCTTGCGGTTTTGTGCGAAGTCGGGATGATGCTTGAGGAGGCCATGAAGAAAGATGGCAATAGTTTTTTGCAGACCTGCTGAACGTCTTACGCCTCCCTTTTCCATTTCCTTGACATAATACATATACAACGCCTCAATGTTCTCGTAGAGATCCTGAGCCTCCCGGTCAGTTGCATCAGGTCCCCACACAAGCGTTGTGCCAATCAGGACCTCCACAAGCATGCTGTTAGCGACTTCCGATGTGTTGTATTCGCGAGCGCGAGGGTCAATGAGGGCTTCACTAAAGCGCTCTAAAAGCCCCAAGCAATCGCTCCTCGATATCGACAAGTTGCTGTTCCACAGCGCGCGCAGGAATTGACGTGAGCGAAGCAGATCGCTCTCCGATAGAGACATCAAATAGTTTACGAATCTCGACGGAATCATTTCCTGATCTCGAGTGTCCATTGTAGCGGATATGAACTCAAGGTAGGTTGAAGCGGACATGCGCAAAGCTGCCAAGTCGTTTTCGGCTTGTATGTCGTGTCGGGGTACATCGCTCTCGGCAACGGATGCTCCTGCGGTCATCTGCGAGCTGGAAGCGTCGTCTACCTCCATGAAATCATCGTCTTCTGCATAGAATGATTGCTTCACTTCTTTGCGTTGTCCGAGAGACTTGCACAAGTGCTGGGCCAGTAGATGAACACCAGCTAGCTTGTAAACACGAGCAGTGCGATTGGAGAGTGAACTGATGTCTGGGAGACTCTTTGTGCAGACTTCGAGGACCGCGTCGACCTTGTATTGCTCTATCTGCGGTCTGGCCAGTGTGACGGCAAGTGATTCGATGAGACTAGTGGCAGCCGACTGTAGACCAGTTACTCGGCGGTCGTCAGAACTGCTGAGAGCAGCAACAGCCGTCGTGACGACACAGAGGTTTGTAATGATGCGCATCATGTCCGAAGTAATACCTGCGATATTGGTTGTAACGGTATCCTTCCAACGTTGCTTGGCCCTGTCAACCTCCGACAAGCAGAAATCCAGTATTCGGTTTTGCATGGGCGTAGAGTGATGGTCATTTGTCGGCTCCTGGGAAGAGGTTGGCTGGGGCGCAACCTTGACCGTAAAATCCTCCGTGTCGGGGAGAAGTAAAAGATAGTGAGCCAAGTCTGTGTAGCGCGCGACACGGGTTCTGGCGTGCCCTAGAGGTCCCAACACCAAGAAAGAAGCTGGTCTTGGTGGGGCAAAATGCAGGTCGAGGCAGGTGTAGATGATTCGCAGTACATCATGAGCATGGCAATGATGAGCATTCGATGAAGAATAGGTTCGCTCAGACCATGAACCTTGCTCTTGTTAGCCATACTCTGGAAACTGTGTACCGACGCTTACTTGGAGTCCATTTGCCGAGAAGCCAGTTCAAGATTCGCTCGGCAGTCGAGCTGAAGAGGGTCGGGTTTTCCTTTACACGCTCCTGCAAAATGGTAGTCATGAGTGACGAGCTACTCTCTGTGAGTGACGCAGGTCCGCTTAGTTCGATGGATGCGAGCATGGATTGGGCGGTTTCTGAAACTGCTGAGAAGGGAACGATATTGAGCCTAAGCAGGACATCCATGAGATGGCATGCTGCACGAGAAACTGAGATGGAAGTGACTGCTCGAGAAGCGCTTTGCCAAGCAAAAATCCAGTACGGAAGAAGCGATGCATGGCATGCTGATTGCTGGAAAGCAGCGCTGAATCAGTGTTAGATGCGTCCACTTGATATCACTGTGACACTTACCCAGCCAAGCCTATCATTGCCCACACCGAGTGTACGGCATTCTCGTCAGAGATGCATGAGGTGAGCTTTTCTAACACGGGCTGAAGCTCTTCATCGCTATAGGGGCCTTGTTGTGCCATAAAGGCCACAATCTGCAGCGCCGCTCGTTTGGCATTAGATTTGGGTTCGGATACATCGCGCAGATATTCCGAGAAGGATTGAGTGATGCGGAGGCGTTTGCTAAGGCTCTCTTCATCGCTGCGCTCGTGGGTAACGGACCGTCTTCTCTCGTCAAGCATGAAAGAGAATCGCGCAATGGTAGCCACCGTGGACCAAAGCCCTTCGTAGCGTTGGTGCTCTGTCTCCATGGAAAAGGCAAAAGTGTTTAGCGGATGGGTCGCGTTAGTGGGAGGGCCCAGGTGTCGGAAGCAAAGGTGATGCTCTTCAAGATACTGGTGCGCGGTAGTCTCTTGTCTGCGTCGGTAATCGCTGTACATTGTCTCAACAAGAGCCTCGAGATCGGAGCTGGTCCTCTCATCATGTGCATCACCAGTAAGGAGACTTGCAATGTGTGCTTCAGTATAAGTCAGAGTGATCAATATTTCGTCGCGCAGTGGTGCCTCGGACCACATAGGCTTTAGCAGAGGCAGTAGTTGTTGCACCGTTCGCTTAGTCAACTCAAGAGACTGCAGTGCAGTGCGGGCAAGAATGGAATTCACGGCTGCAAGCGCAGCTACGACAACGCTCCCGCGCCCCGTCTTTTGTTGCAGGTACTGCAAGAGGGCTGCCAAGATGGCGTCCGACCGATCAAGCAGTGGCGCATTGGAGGCTTTGACAAGGTGATGGATGCAGTGCACAAAGTCGTCTGCTGCGTAGACATGCTGGGCAGCGCATGGCTTGGTCCTGGACACGGCCAAGCGGGGCGACGCTCTGGACGAGGCGAACAGGTCGGTAGACTCAAGGGGCGTAGGAGCGCGACTTGATGCGTTGGTCGCCCAGCTGTTCGGCGGCTCCCCTTCAGGCGACTCGGCAAAGAAGCTGGCGAGGGCGCTGGCGCAGAAGTCGACGGCGGCGTCCCAGCAGTCTTTGGGTAGGCGCTCGACATGGGGCTGGTACTCGAGCAGCGAGCGCAGTGTCTTGGGCAGGTCCTCCAGCAGCGGCTCGACCAAGCCGCCGCCGGTGGCGGGCAGCAGCTCGATTATGGTGTCTATGATGGACTCTACCGTGGAGCTCTTGATGGTGCGCACGCCCGACGCAACGACATGGCGCAAGGCCGAGGCGGACAAGGGCAGCAGCGCGGCCGTCTTGGTGGCTTTGGACCGGCTGCGGACATATGGCGAGCGCTCGTCGCGGAGGCATTGGAACAGCGTCTCGCACAGGGCCAGGTATGCCTTGTTGCCGAGGGCCTCTAGGCTGGGCTTCCCGCGGTGGTGCTTGAGGATGTGGATCAGGTCTTTGAGGCCGGTGGTTCGGTCGAGGACACGTGACGACTGGATCAGCACTGCAGCCTTGGTTAGCACCGTTGCATCCACGACGCGACGGTCCGCGAGGCGCTCACGCTTTGCATCCTGGATGTTGGTGGCCCCCATGCCTGCCTGCCGTCCGCTGCTGTGCTGCGCCTGTGTCGGGAGTAGTGAGAGCAGGCGGCGGCGGCGGCGGCACTCAATCGCGGGAGCAATTGGAGAGAATGCTAGGGTTGCGTGACCATGGCAACGGCGGGGCGGCAGCGTGCTGGTCGGTGTCGTTGGCAGAAGCGCAGCGCCGCGTCGGTGGCCTCTCTCCAGCTCGTGTGGTTGCGGAGTTTACGGCGGAGGTGAGGCGAGGCGAGGCGAGGCGTGACGTGACGGGGGAGGGGAGGGGAGGGGAGCGCGTCCAGGGCGGGCCCACAATGGGCGCTAGGAGCTTCTCGCGGTTCCTGAGAAAGTCCATCGAGCTTCATTTCATGTCACGCTGCGAAAACACCACGCCCGCCCGCCCGCCGCCCGACGCCCCGCCGCCCGCCCCGCCACACGCCCGCCCCGCGCATGATGCGCACGACGACCGCACGACGCTCCCATGGCTGAACAAGACAGCCTCGCCGCCCTCCAGGGCCTACACCGCGACCTCTGCGCCCACATCGACCTCAAGCTGCCCGTGCTGGAGCGGCTGCTGCTGAACCTCGAGGCCCATCTGGAAGAGCTCAAGGCGCTGCTCGACAAGAAGCCCAAGAGCGAAAAGAGCAGACAGGCGCTGGCCTCTGGTAACGAGAGCACCGCCGCCCTGGCGCCGACACGAGTGTGCTGACCGCGCCAGGCAACATCACCATTGACGACAACGAGTACGAGGTCAACGACGACTTCAAGCAGCAGACGCTCGAGCTCGCCGACGCCCTCGATCTCGACGAATTGGACGCGGCCGCCCTGTTCCTCGGCGCGCAAGCCGAAGCCCATGAGCTAGACCGCTCCCAGCTGCAGACGGCCGTGATCCGCTTCCACCGCCGCCGCGAATATGTCCTCTTGTGCGTGCGCATCCTGATGAAGACGGCCCTCGACACCGACGACGCCCAGGTGGACGGCCTGCCCGTGCTGCACGAGGCGGTGCAGATGATTGTCGGCGTCCACGGCACAACCAACCTGGCCAATGCCTTTGGCTTCTGGGCCAAGTGCCTGGCTGGCATGGAGGCGGTCGAGCGGTGGCTGCAGTTCATCAACGAGCGCGTCCAGAGCACCCACGTCGTCGGCCAAGTCCCGCTGCCGGGCTTCGTCGAGATCATGGACTTCCAGCGCCAGAGCCTGACGCGCCAGCACGAGAACCTGGCGGCCATATGCACCCACATGGTCAAGCCCGGATACGTCAATCTGGACAACTACAAGTCGCTGCTGGCCCGGGCCAAGACGCTCGACCGACACGACCTCAACACGATCCACTACGTACCCATCCTGCTTCGTCTCACCTCGTGGGTCGCCTCCGACAGCAACAACGTGACGCTAAAGGACGCGCGCAGTCTGCACAACGCCCTGATGGCTGGCCGTGACAGCGACAACTGGCTGCTCAGGAATCTGCATGCTGCGACGTTGACTTGGTGGCTGGCAGAGTACAGCGGGCGCTACATGGACCCCAATACCCAGGACGCCGCGCTACAGGGCATCAACTTCGACGACGAGGCGAATGCGCGATCCGACGCCTTTCTCAAAGCGCTCGACGATGGCGCATTCCACTTCATGCTTTCCGTCAGCCAGGACGTACGCCCAACGCGCTGGTACGACCCGCAGAAGACTAGCATGCTGTCCACACTGCTGCAAGACACCGCCATGCTAAGCCGAGACTCTGTGCCGCCCGAGGACTTCTTCAAGGAGCTCCTGATGGAGCAGTTCCAGGCCTTTGTCGATTGCTTCATCACGCACATGCCCGACACCCTACGCAAACTCAAGGCCGAGGAGGACGATCAGCGCCGACGACTGCAGCTACACTTCCAGCGATCAATCGGAGAGCTCCCTCTCCACCTGGAGCGATTCATGGTGATTGTGGCCTATGCATTTGATGGCTTTCCCGACGCCGCCGAAGACTTCTGGAGTGATAAGGAAAGCAATCTCTACGGCTTCTTGCAGTGGGCGGCCAAACGCCAACCTACCCCGCGGATAGCCATGTTTTGCGAAATGCTGCGGGCTATTGGTACTGGAGAAACGAACGCCGAAGCCGCACATCGATTCTTGCTCGAAGAAGGCGCATCGGCCTCTGGGAAGATCCGCCGAACCAGCTCGCTCAGTTATACCACAATCTTCAATGAGCTGTGTGAGTTCGAAAAGGACATCCACGAACCGAAAAAGGCCATCCAAGGCAGCGTCTTTGCCCCCGCAACCAACCCGATCGACCAGATTGTAGAGCCAGAGAGTGCGACCATGCTGGAAAGCTACTTTCGCCTCATCTCACACATCTGTCGGCAAAGCGCCACCGCCCGCAACTGGATCCTCGAAGTCAAGGAGTACGACTTTGCCAACATCTGCTTCGGCCTCTGCACCGACAAAGTCGAGAGTGGGTTGCGCGCTGCTGCTTTCGACGCGCTATCTGCTCTACTTGTGGGCAAGGATTCTGCGCGAGCCAATGCCATGTGGCTCATGCTGGACGACTGGACCGTCAACGGCTTCTGCACTGGCTCCAAGCAGAACAACACTCTAGGAGCTGCGCCAAGAGACGACCTGTGGCCCACGCTTGCAGATGGGTACGACGAATCCACTGCCTTGGTTCGCTTTCTCCACTCGCTTGTGGAGCCCTACCCTGAGAATAAAGGCCTTAACGACAGTCTTCCATTTCCCGAAGGCTTGGGCTCGGCGCGCAGGATACCCGGTATCGAGAGCTACATCGACTTCGTCATGCAGCAGGTGTTTGCAGAGCGCTCCTTGGATGTACTTGATCCCTTGCAGCGCAACGTCATGCGGTGGACATGCTTGCGTTTCATGGTAACGTGTCTCTCGACGTTCAATGAGAATCTCGTCGTCTTTGCAAACAAGTCTAGCATACCTGTTGATACCGTCATTGACCCTTCGTCTCTTGCCGTGTACGTGGCTCTGCACCCATTTGCGCGCGTCATGGAATGGCTGTTCAATGACAAAGTCATCAAGGCTCTTTTTGCTGCCTCGCATCAAGACGTGGCCGAGGTCGACGCTGCTCCATCCGACTCACCTTTGGTTCAATCGCTCATGCTGAGCATTGAGGTGATGGACCTGGTGATGAAGCTTCAAGCGACTTATCTGGACATTGTCAGGCCAGTCCTCAAGCAGCAGACATCCTTCCAGCACTCCCCGGTATCCAATCTGTCGCTTGCGTCTTTCGAAGATGCAATTTTGAACAACCTTCAAATCATCGTCGACCTCGGTCTCTACTGCGGGACGGGTCACGAGGCTTTGACCATCGCCTCTCTTCAACTACTGGAGAAGATGGCTTCCTCACGCAAACTTGCAGTCTCACCCGCAGGATTTGGACAGCGCTCGGGCCGAAGCAAGATTGTCGGAATCTTGGAGAAGGACAATGAAGCAGAGCGCATCGGCAGATCGCTCTCGGGTCTGATGCGATTCAGTGCCGAAGAGCTTGAAGCTGGGGAAGAAGCCTCGGGATACATCGTCAAGCTTCGCATCCTGGATTTCCTCAACAGTTGTTTGGCTGCTGTATCCCTCCGGCCAACCATAGCCCATATTCTCTTGGGCTTCGCATGCGGAACAAATGCTGTCCGAATTGCCGACGATAGTCTTTGGTCCAATGGGCAAGCTCTGTTCCACAACATTCTTCTGCTTGGCGTGCAGTATCCCGACAACGATGGAGAGCAATTCCTAGCCTGGCGGGCCGCGATCAAAACTCGTTGTTGGCAGGTGCTCCAAAAACTCTGGCGCTCACCGCTTACGAGTGCTATCGTCATGGAGGAACTGCGCGACAACGAGCTGTTGTTCATTGAAGCACCCCAGCTTACACCCATCACCCTCGATATACCTTGGGACGGAATGTCATTGGCCCAAGGGCTTGAAGTCGCACCCAGCGATTATTCTGCATTCTTCTCCGGGCCACCAGCACTTGCTCTCCAGAGCTTCCTCCAACGGCGGGCTGCTTTCTTAGATTATGAATCAAGGGAGCTACGCTTGACCGTCAAAGAAAACATGCCTACGATGAAGTCTAGGATCCAATCGTTGCTGCTCGGAACTACCATCAGACCTGGTGAGGACGCCACAACCAACCCCAACATTTTCGATTTGTTCGACTTTATAGAGCTGGTGTACCCGGAACGCGCCCTGCCAGACCAACACAAGTTCTTTGAAGGCGTCAACCTCGACTCATGCCAGGAAGACAAGGAAGGCTGTACACTTTACTCGATACCGCTACTCGAACAAGTCATCCGACTCAAGCTGAAGCACTGGCGAAAGGAAGGCTTGTTGAAAGAAGAGGACCAGGAAATCGAACTCGCTGAACAGGCCGAACTGCTCATGGCTATTTTTGTCGACTGGAATCGCCGTACTCAGCTCTTGCGCTACCACAAGGACATCCTCCAGTCGTGGGTTCAGGTGGTTATGGTGGCAGTACACAACTGCGACTTTGAAAGCGGAGCACGGAGCTCCTTCATTCTGCAGACGTTGCAAGTCATCCTCCCAAAGCTCGAACAGTCATACGCCGCCGACATCTTCACGGCTCTACAGCTCGCCAGCCTCGCGGAATCTTTGGTGCAAAAGGTCGATTTCGAGTCGACAGCATTTGACAAGACAGGCGACTTTGCCAACGACCGGTTGTCACAACTCTTCCGGGCTGCGCTCCTCGGCATCTATAGCCCAGTCTCAACAGCTGAACTGCGAGAATACTGCTACCAAATCTGCTTCCGCTACATGCACGGTACCTTCCACAAGGCAGCGCCAAATTCCGTGCTGGGCCGACACACACTCGGTGCGATTAGGAACTGCGGCAGCCATATGCTTGAAGTGGTCTGTGACGATGCTTACAGCGGGCAAGGAACGTGCAAGGTCTCTGCACTCCTTCTTCTCAATGCATTCGTAGCAGCAGCCACTCGTCAGTCTTCCAAGTACATCCTGGAAAGCTTCGTTGCTCTCAACTTCATCGGTGTTCTTGTCGACAACATCAAGCACATTCCCGAGGAACTTCGCGCAGCCCCCGGACCACACGTACCCATTCTACTCTCCTACTACGACGCCAGTCTCGCGCTTCTCCTTCGCATATGTCAATCTCGATTGGGGGCGGCGTACGTACTCAATGCAGGCCTCTTCCCGGCTATCCGCGACTCCCAAATCTTCTCGGTAGACCCCGACATTGGTCTCGAATTTGACGATGCGAATGCTCTGCGCAAGTACTACGAGCTCATGCTAGCCGTGCTGCGAGTCATCAATGCCGCAGTTATCGCGCGCGGACGGCAAAACGACCAGACTGTGTTCCAAGCGCGAGAGTTCCTGAAGGATAACAGGCATAGCATGGTCAGCATTTTTAAGAGAAGCGTCAATGTGGGTGCCGGGGTAGGCCAGGAGGTGCATCAGGATCTGGTTGACTTGGTGGATTGCTGGACGGTATTGGTGGAAATTACGGGCTTCTTGCAGGTAAGCTCCCAGCGCGGACATGGCATTGATCGACATGGGACTAATGAATCGCAGTATGAGGATGAGTACAGCCTAAAGAAGGCAAGGCCGAGCATGTTTTCATGAGTAGTATGCAAAGGGGTTGCTGCAATGTGGAGGGCGGCATCATCTTGGGCGCTTTGCAGAAATGCTCTGCTATGTAATGTGTAGAGAAATTGCAGTTTAAAATCCTGTTGCATCTTGCTACAGCCTCGGCTGAAGACCATGGTTGCCTTGGATACTACGTACTCGCTACACGGCCCAAAAGCTCTAAATACATCAATGGGAATCTGGCTATTGACGGGTGAGTGCCCAGGCGCTTGTGTTTTGTCAGGGATATTCCGGCCGATGCATCCAATGTGGAGCTGCCGCATTCGGGCCGCGTGTAGCGTTCATCCCCTACTAAAGCTCGTTTATTTGGTTCTATGAGTGGTTGCGATGTGCGACCGCAGCGGCTTTCACCATGCTAACGCTCGTTTATAATTTCTCATTCAAGGTTCCGCATTTGGGGTGTCGCACATGGCTGACAGCGGGCCCACCAAGTTCCACCCAACCTCTTTCTCACGACTCGCCAACCCCTTTTTCCACCCTTTCTTCGTCTCGCGACTTATGAGATATGCCTGCGCCCTTCTAACATCCATTCTGTTAGCTACTGGCCTAGCCTAATTGTAGTAGCTTTCTTGCCATTCTACTACTACGCATCATGGAGCCCACTACGGACACTTGGCTCTAGTACCGCAGTAGCCTACGGTTATAACCGCCACAGCGGCGGATGCGCGTCATAGCTGGGAAACTATAGCTTTAATGGAATAGCTCTTTCGCTAAAAACCGACTAACGTGTTAGAGCCCGGACTAGAGCCCGGCTTAAGGCCCTCCATCGTATTCGGCCACCCCATGTCGCTTCCATCATGCGCAAGGCAAATCCCGGTTAAAGTGGTTTGATCTCTACTGACTGCGACTCATAGCTACACAAATGCATATCCAATAGAAGACTTGTGCAAACTGGAAGTCCTTGTGACGATGATGCAATCAGTGCGCGTCGTGATACGGCTGCCTGCGACTGACATCCGAGGGAGAGGGAGGCGCAGTGACATCAGTAACCGTATGGGCGATGGCAAGACGAATGTGGCCTTTGAGAAATAAAATGGAGACATCAGCGCTAGGCCGAAGAGGAAGAGGAGGATGATCTAGATGCGACTCTTCGCTCATTCGTTTCCGAGGCGGTCCACTTCATACAAGCCCTGTGGAGAGAGGTTGATATGGCAACACCATGAAGAGACGTTGTTACAACGCAAAGGGAATCTTATTACTATAAGTATGCTCATTTTTGCTGCCATTGCCACTGCCATCATTCAAAACCAAAGGCAACTCACTAATTGTAGCCTGTTTCTTTTTTCGAACATCGCTCATTTGGTCTTTATCCACGTCGCCCTTTTCATCTCTTTTCATACCAAGCCATGGAGAATCATCCCAACATGACCCAGGATGCATCCAATAGCGTCGAGGAACGTCAGAAGCAGGTGCTGATGATCCAAGGGCTCTTCAAGTCCATGAAAGACCAAGACATCATGGGTCTCCTCAAGGAGTGTTTTGCGCCAGATCTCTTCGAAAGCTCCATCTCGGGCATGAAACGAACCAACAAAAGGCCGATGCTCGACAACACGGACTCGGTCTCGACGCATGCACGAATAGAGATGCCCATTTCAAGTCCTCCATTACCTGATCAAAGCTCCAGGCTCCGTAATCCCGCCGGCAATGTACCTGGTTGGGACTCTTCTTCTCCCCAGTCATCTCAAAGCATGGACGGGATTTTCTCTGATTCGCCATCTTCTTCGCCACCATCCTCGCCTATTCGAGCTCCGAGCGATTCTCAAGGAGCGAAGAGAACTCACAACGGGGATAACATCAAGGCTTCCTCCTCATCGGCAGCCGCGAGAACATCTGCGCCCCCCTCATCTTCGCCAACTGGTTTGATGGCATCTCGTTATGCCTCTCACCAGCCTGCCTCTCTTGTTGCATTAGGTCCGGGCATACAAGGTCGACTAAACACTCCCCACCATACCAAAAAATGGAAGCCCGTCAGCAAAGGCATCAAGTCAAACGCGCGCAAAATCAAGTCAGGCGATTTTCACGGCCAGATGTTCACGGAAGTCATGAAGAAAATCCATGAAAGCGAGCGAGATTACATATACTTTCTCAACGACATGCATATGCTGCAGAAGGGACATCCAGAGTGCGATCCAGACGTTGTAGACGCGCTAGCCAACTGCGAATCGAAAAAGCCTCACTTGGCCCGCGAAACAGGCCGCTTATTCCCACCTGAAAACTTCTGGTTCTGTTTCGGCATGTACAAGGGCTTGACATTGGATCAGGTGAATATTAAATATATTCAAGAACAATTTTACAATAACAAGGTCAAGGACTGCCGCCCTTGGTTCGAAGAGGCTGCTAGATTGTACTTGGCACATTATAATGCCCAGCATCGATTCTTCGGCGAGCGTCTTCCATTGTTGCCGCTCGAATCCGAAAGAGTCAAAAAGTGGAGTATGTTTAATACCGAGGCGAAGAGAGAGGAAGACGAGGGGATCCAGCCCGGGGCTCTGGCTAGGTCAAAGACTAATGCACCTGGCTTCACCGATGCAGACATTGACCAGCTGGTGCATGAAGCCAATCAGCCGCACGACACATCTTCCAACTACAAGGGAAAGGGCGTACTCAAGAGGACGCATGATGGCCTGCGCAGGCCTAATCAGCGTAAGCGCTAGACATTACTCGAATGCTTTGCTGGAGGGTTTTTGCACTCGATCTTTCGGGTAAACACCCCCATTTCCTTTCCTGATACTCTCAGTCGTGTCGTCATTCTTTCTTTTGTTTGTTCAAATCCTTTTGTATGGTGGTATCGGGGCAGGGACAGATGTAACCGTAGTCTAATTCAGTTATCAATATAAGAAATTGCCTGGGCACAGAGGAAGGCCATGTAACACCTGATTTCCAAGAGCTTACCCTTGCCGTGGTGCCTAATCCACCTGCGTCGCTTCCTCTTGCCGGGATATGGGACCTTTCCCCTTGCCAGGGCCCGTGGCCCTTGCTATGGCCGAGATGCTGACTTCAACTTGCTGATCATCGGGTAAAAAGAATGCTGTTGTGGCAGTGCGTCAATGCGATTCGTATCGTGCCGTCTAAGCAGGGACACAGTGCTCGCTTGTGCAGAGAACACGAACATCGCCGACTAAGCCATTCTCCACACGACGAACGCTAGAACAGCCAGAGCGGCTAAAACGGCCAGAGCGGCCGAAACGGCTAGAGCGGCTGAAATGGCCAAAATAGCTAGAGCGGCTAGAGCGGCTAAAATGGCTAGAGCGGCCAAAGTGGCTAAAATGGCTAGAGCGGCCGAAATAGCTAGAGCGGCTAAAATAGCTGGAGCGGCAAAATAGCTAGAGCGGCTAAAATAGCTAGAGCGGCAAAATAGCTAGAGCGGCCAAAACGGCTGAAACGGCCGGTCCAATAACTAGAGCAGCATCCCTATCGAGCTCCGACACGGACTGAAGAAATGTTGATCCTAGCAATAGCTGGATTTGCTTTTCGCTCATTGGCACGACAAAAATCGACTGACATGTCCGTGTACACCGAGCGCACGACTCAATTAAACCCCCACTTATGCATGGTGTGCCGTCGGCCAGTCTTACTCGGCCGACCCAGTGCTTGCAGGGGTGAAAATCCCCTCATCATCTTGATGTATGCAGCTAAAGTTTGACGGGTGGGTTCGTGCGTGAAGGATGGAAAGTATGCCGATGTGAAGACGAAGCTTTTGGGACGAAAAGCGGGCGAGACATGCATCATCACACGACGATAGTCATGAGAGAGCTCTTCTTGTAGGCTGCAAACTGTGGAATGTTGAAAGGCCATGTGATATGGAAGTCTAATATTGCTACGAAAGGGAGAAACAATTTCTTGCCAACCGTGTGCGCCTCCGTCCACTCTTCACTACTGCAATGGCTACGGTACAAAAATAACCATGTCCACATGCGAACACCTTGCGAAACACTATTAAGAGAAAATAAAAAACAATGGCAATCTCTGGTTGGGTCCATGGTGTCGCCAAACCGGTTACTTCTTGTTACGACGTCGCTTGCGACTTCGCCATGCCGATGGAGAAGTATCCGAAGTATCTTCTGTAATGTTATAAGTGTTATCAGTGGGAGCACCCGTTACTGCGGTCATCGCCTGTAACGTGTCCACTTGGAAGTCTTCTTCTCTGTCCGATGTACATGAAGAAGCTGCATCGTTTGTTGACTGCATAGTCTTGCGAAGGGATGAAGGCTCCTGGTCCTTTGCTACCCCACGTCGACGGCGATGAGGAGTTTTAGGACTGTCACGCGTCCTACTCTGCATCATCTCCGCAAATGCATTCATACCAGGTCCCACCGAGCACTGATCGTCGGTTGCTTCTGGTTGCGGTTGAAGATTGGGAGACGACATCTCAATCGGCGCCGATGCTGTTAATCCATCCTGCGCCACCTCCTCTCTCGCAATATGCTCTTGCGTTGCATCATGGTCGCATTGGAGTACCGACTCCTCATTCAAAGTGGATGTTGCGTCTTTGTTCCGTTGACCAAGTGTTGTGAAGTCGAATGTGCCTTTCGGTGGGCTGACTCGCAACGCCTGTCTCATCTCATCCCCGGATGGGAGCTTCATGTCGACGGCCCACGGAGGATATACCCCCTTGAAGACGGCACATGCCTCACGGTGAGCCACTGTCTTCGGGTAGGGACAGTTGTAATCATCGGTCCTGTGACCAGCCTTGTCGCCGAAGCTTTTCGTTCCCGTGCAGTTGCTGCACTTCGCGGGCGCTTCACATTTGCGCTCCGTGATTCTCACATGGGTTTCGCTACATATAATACAAGGCCAGGCCTCCTTGTCTGTAAGTAGAGACTTGCAGATTGGATCTCCCTTCATATGCCCTGGCAAGAGGCATTTGTAGCAAAATATAGGATGCGCGCGTTTGTCAAAAGGCCTGGGAGCGTTAGTTAAAGAACTTTGCTGTACTTCTTGGCCCTCCAAGAAGGACGAAGAGGGAAAAACGATTGAAGTAGCACTCACGTAGCTAGTGCTTGATCACCTTCAAAGTAGAGCACTTCCTCGCAAGCTTTCTTAGCTTCTCTTTTCTCCTTGAAACAAAAAAGCAACTTTCGGTGTTCATATGAGGCCTTTTCAATCTTGAGGTTCAGCTGTTTCGACCACTTGTCCAGAAGCTGGTCGCAACTCCTTAGGGTCGCAGCGGGAATGTCATGTCCATGTACCCAGACCCAATAGCTTTCCGTCTTGAGCTGGGTGAAGTTGTCGAGCCGAAGGCATCCAATGAGCGCTACACTAGCTGCAACAGAATCGAACTTCTTTAGCGTTTCGTAACTATCCAGCGAAAAGGAAAGCTCCCAATTCGTTTTGATGCGGCAAGCCTTAATTCGTCTCATTAAATCACCTAGCTTTGGATCCATGAAGTGGCTCTCTTCATGAAGCTTAAGGAGCACTCCCTCCGCTGTAAGATTATTCTTGAGCAACTCAAAGTCTTCTTTGGACCTGAGTTGGTACTTCAATGTCGGAACAACATCCTCGACCTTCTCTCTCGGTGCTTCTACTGGCCCAGGTTTGTATATTTGGTCGACGACGTTGGAAACGTAGTTCAGTTTGTCTCGAACGGCAAACATCATGCTGTTTTGTTGTTTCGCTCCTTGTTGGACCTCATTTCGCAACTCTACAACCATGGACATTAGTAGGTTCAGTTTGCCTAGAGTATAGATGTCAACGTTGGTTTAGAACTGGACGTCGCATTTGTTACCTTCGATTGTTTGCGGCTCACTGGTGGGTGCGGCTTCATGGCTCGGGAGCATTGTTGGAAGGTTGGGGCTGTGGGATGAAAGAGTTTCCCCAGACGAGAGTACGTTGCCATCTAGCGTAGACATAACGCTGTCTTGAAAGTGACTGCGCCGTTGAAGAGATGATAGGACTCTTAGAAGCGTTCGAGAATAAGCTGTAATGGATAGCATCAACTTACCTGATGTGAAAGCTTTATAGCATGTGATGACAGATAATTGTCGCACGTGCTGTGATGAGCTAGAGCGCTCCGTAATTGTGGAACTCGGTAAAAACATTCAGGGGCGGTGGAGACATGCTATTTTTACTAGTTTAATTGCAAATGACGGGCTAGCGACTGCATAAAGCCGAAGTAACAGGGGGAAGGGAGAGGGAGGTGGGCTCATGTCATGCGCGCAAAAGGGGCGAATGGCGGTGAAGGACTAGCTCACCGCTGCTCGCGAACGAATTATGCCTAGCAAAACGGTCACGGACATCCGACCTATCCACCATCAGATTAAATGCTCCCTTCTATACGGAGGTGCCTTTCTAAAGTATTGTCTGACGCTAATCTCGGCGCTTCGGCACAACTCTTCTTGGCGCAACTCCCACCTTAGAGTTAAGGGGCTGTCTAATTAGTCTGCCTACTACTATATAGTTATCCTTTAACTATAGCTCCTTATACTAATATATATACCTGTACCTTAGTAATCGCGTTAAAATTACCTCCTAGTAGCAAGAATACCTTATAAGTCTCTGCGCTAACTAGCGTTCATCCTTGTACTATAGATCGTATCTATAGTAGAGCTATTGCTGCAGGCTTTGAGCTAAACGACCTTCCTATTAAGATCCTTCTACACCACGTTTAGGATGCTCTAAAGCCTAGTAGGCCTGCTAAGCAGGTAGAGGTGAAGGAGCAGATATTGCAACAAGTACGACACGATAGATATGGACGAGAGAAGAGCTGTGCTGACCTTACTGGTGGGCTCAGTCTCTAAGGAGTCGAAATCTCTGCCTCTACTGTCTGGAGGGTGTTGAGAGCAGTAGGATACAGGAAGACTAAGCTAACGAGGAAGCCTAGGTTGACATAGGAGATAAGGAGTGCTCGTCTTAAGTAGGCATTAGAGCATAAGGACTAGACGTTAGAGGACTAGAAGAATGTCATCTAGACAGACAAGACGTTAGTGGTGATCAACCACTAACGTGGGGGCTATAGAGTCTAGAGAAAGGCAGACGAGAGGGTAGTTAAGAGCTGCATCCGTGAGAGGTGGAAGGGATACTCTAAGTTTATGTTCTAGGGCTGCTTCTCGTATAACAAGAAAGGTCCATGCCATATCTACTAGCCGGAGACGAAGGCAGAGAGAGAGGATGCTGCTCGTTGGATTGAGCAGCTAAACGCTGAGCTTGAGCCTCTATAGCGAGATGAATGGGAGCTGTTAGAGTCTATGAGAAGGATAGGGCTACGCAATAAGCGTGGCGGGAAGCCTTAATGGAGATGGATAGAGAAGACAGGTAAGCTGGTGCGTAAGTCTGGAGGTGGTATAGACTGGTGGAGATATTAGGCCTGCGTTCTAATTCTAAAGCTGATTCCTTTTGCTAAAGAGTGCCTCTAAGATAGACCTTAGACTGTTGTAATGGAGGATAAGGCACCTAGCCACGCCCACTACTATTAGGGTGTGATCTATCGCCTGTACGACGTTGAGAGACTACTTTGGTGTGGAAACTCGCTAGACTATAACTACATTGAGCTATGCTAGTTCTATATAAAAAGAGAGACTACAAAGAAAGGAGCTCCGCAGTCAAGGGCTAAGGCAGTTAGAGTCTAGCAGAACTACTAGAGAGATCTCTCACAACTTAAAATCCAAGCCTAGATTAAGCGAATTCTTGTATATATTTAAAAGATAATTAAGCTACAAGGTGGTAATGAGTACATAGAGGGGAGAGACAAGCCTCGGCTAAGGCGGCCGCACTTTGGTTAGATTATTCTTGGCAGACAATACTTTTGAAAGGCACCTCCGTATATATTCTCTCTGAACCCCTCGATTTTGCGACAACATTCCTGGCTCATTCTGCTTCGCTTATACCTATCGCGCATATCAACTCATACACGCAGCATTTCTTTCATGCCCCATATGCACATGCCTTTTCTCCTATGATCTTTCTCATATGCCCTTTTGTTTATGCCCTTTCTCGTACGGAACGATTGAAGGCCCCCATTTAGTAGGCCCGCCTCCCAAGAACGAAACGAGCGACTGTGTTGCACCTTTGTATTTAAGTTGCTACAACTCGCACGATGTAGCACATCGCACTATCTGTGTTGTTAACCTATGCCATCCGTGTCCATCAGCATGACACCACGAGAGGCGATAGCGAATACATCGAAGCGGCATTAGGTGAGTACATGCTGTAGAATGACGCTCACGTTTGATGCTAATCTGCAGCAACCAGTCTATCCAAGCACGTCGAAAGGATATTACAGCGCTCTCTCACCCGAACCTACTGAGAAACCGCAATCTCGCTCGCACGCATATATTTCTGCAGCCTAATGTCCACTAGCAGCCTCTATTGTGGCTGCAGCTGGGCAATTTGGGTGTATCCATGGCAAAAGAAAACTACCAGTGTCACAACGACTTGGTTGATAACATGGAAGAGATCATACAGTTGACCTTAGGTCAAGTGCGTCTCTCATACCCTAATGCATATCCCTCCATACTGACAATCACAGTTGACGCTAGGGAAACATGACGGGACCGCGACGGCGAAATCGAATCCGCTTCTGACATATACACCGTCGGATGAGATGCCAATCCAGGAAGTACATAATGAGGATCTTCACATCCTCTCTGCCAGCTTGAAGGGGTCCGAAAAACGATGGCAGAGACTCTACTGCTGCATCAAGAGCATGGCACGAACGCCCGATGTTATTGCTATATAAGATCCACCGACTATTCTAGCTTTCCGCAACTATGGCTACCAGGTTATTGCCCGCTGTGAGGACAGCTCGGATGGCAAAAAACAAGAGTTCACTGAGCGAGACCACAAGACATACAGAGCTTTTGAGCCATGCTATCCGACAAAAAAGTAGAGACTTGCCAAGCAAGAAGCTCTAAGGGATAGGAAAGAGAAGGAGCTTGCTAAGGAAGAAGCTTTACGAATTCGCGAACAGCAGAAGCATGATACGCAAGAAGCTTCAAGCGATAGCGAACAGGAAAACGATGCAACAAACTCCGGAAACAGCGAAACCAAGAAGTTGGCAAAGGTTGCATTTCTTGTTAAACGAGGCGTACAGTACGACGATTTGGAAGCAGAGGAAGCGAACCGCGGCTTGGTCTGGTCCCTCCGCATCCCCACTCGCGATGGGGTGGTTGCTATCCACAACTTCTATAACCACCCCGATCGCAAACTCGACATTGAAAAGCTCATGGATCTTTGCATCGACGAAGAAGAAGCACACGTGTTGCTGGGAGACTCAAATTTGCATCATCCGCGATGGGGAGGTGAGAGCCTGACCAAAACCGATGCAGATGGCACCAGGCTAGTAAACCTGATCGATCTCTTGCACATGAAATGTATGAACATTCCAGGTGTCAAGACGTACGCGCGTGGGTCGCATACCAGTGGCAAGTACACGAGCACGTTGGATATAGCCGTGGTCAGCCAAAACATCGAGGACCGTTCTCACTACGAACTTTTGATGGATGTCTTCTCCAGCGATCATCGTCCATACACTGTGACTGTAACGATGTTACAACTTCGCCAAGTATTGAGCCAATCCCAGAGCCGGATCGGAGGAAGTACCTGCCGCCCTTCATCAGCCATTCGCCCGAGGTCGGATCCGAATTCGGACCCGACTAGGATAGGTATATATTGAGACACTCCCTGTAGCTAGCTCTGTAGACTTTTGATATCCTTTCGTACAAGGCCTATAGGTGGCTTGTTGAATCTAGGCTCTTTGTGATCCCACGCACTCCCATATGCCTCTGAGTGATCCTACGACCGAAACAGATCCGACCTGCCTTACCTGCGCCGTTACATTATATCAAAAGTCTCGTCCCAGCCGGTGACGGCTTCTAAACAATATCGCAGCTGTTTGTTCGAGATCACGTCCAAGCCCCAAAGTTATCCGGAACCAATCCGAGTACTTACACGATCACATCCGACATTCATTTTAGGCAGGATCCCATAGATCTCCTGTCGACCGAGGCCTTTGGGTTTGGAACTTCTGCGCTCCTCGCGAGGCAGATTACTTCGGAAAAGTCGCGTAGAGTGCGCCAAGGTA